GAAAAAGTCAAATACAATTTCCCAATTTTCTTTCCATGGACTCCCCCCACCCCCCACCCCTCCATCTTCCTACTTGCCTATTCTTCTAGACACACATTATTTTCTGTAACGATTGGCACCTGAGCACATCTGAGCCAGCGCCTACATACAGTCCCTCTTTTTTGACCTTGTCAACTCCTCCTACCACATCTCTCTCAAATCCAATCAGAATTAATTAGAAGAAAAATGGACCTTCAACCTGGAAGACAGGAAGTCATTCTAGGTTTTTACCAGAAAGAGGAAAGACTTCTAAAGCAACAAGTAAGCTTTCCAAATATGCCACACACAAATAAGAAAACATATTACTTCATATCAAAAGAGCATTAAGCAAACAATTTTAGGTAATCATTTGGGCGGATCTATAGAACAATCAGACAGGATCTCCCTTCCAAGAGCATAGCCATGATTGTTAGCAAATAATAACAAAATGCAGTGATAAGGGCAACAGAGCTAGGTTCAAAGAGCAAGGAGAACACACAGGAAGAAATTATTGTGTTTAAGAAAGGGAACTTCACAAGGAAGGTGATGTTTGAATAGGATCTTAAAAGATAGATAGGAGTTTTCCAGAGAATAAAGTCAAAGGGCATTTCAGGAAGAGAAACAGCATGTTCAGAGGCATGGAGTTGTGAAAGGGCACTGGGTGGTTAGGGAACATTGAAAAATGCGGAGGCTGAAAAGTGAGTCCCAGCCAAAAATTAAGCTAGAGCAAAAGGTTGAGATGATTGTAAAAGGCCTCATGAGCTACACTAAGGTGTTTAGATGAGCATTGTCCAACAGAGCTTTCTGCAAAGATGGAAATGTTCTATATTTGATAGCCGTTATCCACATGTGATTATCAAATACTTGAAATATGGTTTAGCTGAAGAACTCAATTTTTATTTGAATTCTAATAACTACCATATTGGACAGCTCAGATTTAGACTTCATTCTACAATGGCGATGAGGGACCAACAGAATCTTTTAATCATGTGGACAACACAATCAGGTTTCCTTTAAAGGATGAAAATCCTAAAGCCAGTTTAGAGAGTATCTGTTCTCTTTAAGGGGAATCTTGACAGATCAGGCCAGGGTATTGGTGGAAGATTGGGGTGATAATTTAGATCAGCTGGGCCACAGTCTAGCCAGGGCAAGTGTTTACCCAAAGGATAGGGACAGGAAGATCTAGTGAGTATGTTATACCCTGACATCTTAAAGAACACAAGTAATCAAAACCAGAGAAATTGAATTCTGCTCTCAAGTCATGGCAGAACAGGGAGTAGGAGAGTGAGGGGCCAAAAAGAAAAAGAAATCCAAACGGTCAGTTAGCTCATAAAACAGGGAGAGAGCAAGAGTGAACAGAGGAGTACACACACACACACACACACACACACACACACACACACACACAATCGGTTTTACTGGCCCTTATCCATGTGAGCCACCATGTGTTGGCCTGATTTAAAGAGCCAGAGTCTCCAGTGTCAGGAAGGCCCATTAGGACTAGGGCAAAACTCCAGGAGAGTTGAAGGCCTGAACCACACCTGCGGAAGTAAGGATAGGAGGGAGAGGCAAATGTTTATTGACTTTCTGCACACTACAAGGCATTCAGCTTGACCAGAATGCAAAGGAATGCTAGAAGCTTACAGTATACATAGCTGGATAGCAGGTGAAAAGTTAAGCGAAGATTAATCATTCGGCACAACAATGAAAGAGATGACACAAAGCAGAACATGACTGATTAATTATTCAGAGGATTTCCTAGGCGAAAACCGGTGTGTGAGTTCAGAAGAGGGAGCAAG